TTTGTAACAGATGAACAAGCTAGTTTAACTGCTGATGTAGGGGCTTTAAAAAAGGAGCAAAGTCAATTAGATGCGAGGGTTGACGCCTTAGAAAAGGGGAGTTCTAAGACGACAAATGCTAAAATTTTTCAAGTACCCAGCCGCAATCGTTGCTTTTGTGGTCGCGATAGGGAATTAGAAGCAATTGTAGCGCAACTAAAAAACACCCCAAATGGTTGTATTCACTCAGCTATTTGTGGTCTCGGTGGTATTGGTAAAACGTCTCTCGCAGTAGAATTTCTTTGGCGAAATGATAAAGAATATCCCGGGGGTATATTCTGGATTTGTGGCGAAAATAATAATCTTTTCCAAAGGACCGTCGGGGAGATGGCGCGTCAAATTGGAACGTCTGAAAACGACTTTGACAAATCCTTGTCGAGGACCCTTGATTGGCTTGGAAAACGCGACGACTTGTGGTGTTTGGTCGTCGATAATCTTGACGAGTTAGAAATGTCCACAGAAATGCGTAAGCTGCTTACTGGCCACTGGAAATATAAGGCTCGTGGTCACATTATCATAACAACAAGAAGGGAGGTTTCAGAAATTGGGGAAGAAACAGGAATTGACGAGAAGTGTTGCATTGACTTAAAATGCTTAACGGAAGAAGAAGGCATTCAGTTCCTACGGCTACGAACAGGGAAAGATCAGGGAGAGGACAAAGACTTACGTCAACTGGTCAGAGAACTTGGAGGACTGCCATTAGCTCTTGATCAAGCTGGGGCCTATATACGATGGGTTAAACAATCCATAAAACAGTATATGGAGAAATACAAAAAGCAGAGGCTGCAACTCTTGGAAAAGAGAAAAGCGCAACAATTCGTCGAAAACACCCCTCCTGAGCGGCTGGCTGTCCACACAACATGGCTTTTGAATTTTGATCACATAAGGCAAATCTCAGAAGAGATGGGAATTGGGAGAGCTCCTATTCTTTTTATGCAGGTTTGTGCTTTTTATGGCCCTGATGACATTCCATGCGAGTTGGTTAATGAAGCGCTGAAGGAAAAAGACAGTTCCGAGGGTAGTGGTCCTTGTGATCAAGCTGAGATAGTGTCTCTTCTTACCAAGTTTTCCCTTTTTCAAAGGTATGGAACAGATTCGTTTAGTGTTCATCGTTTAGTACAAGAAGTGATTCGAAACAGGTTGGAAAAAGAACAAACTGAGTGCAGAGTTCTCTCTCTTGCATTACGTGTCCTTCACCGCGCGCTGAAAGATACTCGCTCGCCGGCTGAAGTGTGTGAAAGTTTCGTTGAAGACGCTGTTTTTAGTGTCGAGAATCCCCCTTCTTTGCATTTATGGGGTAAATTGGCCTCGCATGCTACCTATTTACAGGAGCATTTGTCCAATTTTTCAGTGAAACAGGTAGCAGCAGGCCATAAGTTGCTCTATACAGAAGAAGCCGTGCGTGTTTTTAACGAAGCTGGGATCTTTTTCAGTGTGTCTCAAGAGAAAATCAAAGCTCAAGAAGTTCAAAAATTTAAACTGGAATTCCTAGTAAAGCTACAAAAATCTACTGAAGAAAACAGCGCGAAACTGCCAAACTATTTTATTGACATTCCATTAAAAGACAGGAACCGCAAGCTGATATCGCACTGCATGAGGCAAATGGCCTCGGAAGGAGATTTCGTGGATGAATCTCGTTCTGTTCAGGAAGAAAGGGAGAAGAAAGCTAACCAACTCAGGGAACAAGGAAACTTTGCAGTAAAAGATAAAGAATTTGAAGAAGCATTAAGGCTCTATTCCAACGCCATTGGTCTCACGGCTAACGACTACCGACTTTTCGCCAACCGCGCGTTTTGCTATTTGAAACTCGGCAAGCCACAGCAATCCCTAGATGACTGTGAAAAATGCCTTTTGCTAAATCCGGGCTACAGTAAAGCACTTTCACGCAAAGCTTGGGCTCTCGAAGATCTTGTTAAAGGAGGATCGTCTCACCTGATGGGACAAAAAAGAGCAGCGGTGGCTGTAGCAGTCCATTTTGACCCCGATTTTCGCCAAGACAAGAAATTTTGTAAAATGTTTCCAGAGGTAGATACTCATTCGAGTAAAGAAATAAGTAATTCTGCACAATTGGCTTTTGCTCTGATGACAACACAAGAAAGTGAAACTCTGTTACTGCATGATGGTGAGTATAATTTACCTCAGTTCGTTGCCTTAACAGACCTGCAGATTGTCGGCCTTGGACAGGAAGTCGTTTTCAATTGCAAAGAGGAGTTTACAATTTTCAACGCCAGGTGCTATTTTGAGAAAGTCCGTTTCTCAAAAGGAAGCGTGGGTCTTGTTTGTGAATTTAATTCTACTATTCACTTGAAACTTTGCGAAATTTCCGGAGGATACTCTAGTTGTGAAGACTTTCCAGAATGTAATGGCGGGCCAGGATGTGTAGCGGCCTCTTTAGGTAAACCTGCCTGCGATCGCACCGGCAAGTTTGGACAATCAGGAATAAAATCCGGTGTCGGTGGTTTTCCTGGAGTGTCGATTGCATTTCAGAGCTCCGCATTTATTGAGGACTGTGCAATTCATGACTGTGGCGGTGGTGGCGCTCTTGTTCGTACATTTTCCCGAATGGAGGTTAGAAAGTGTGAGATATACAAAAACCACCAGGCTTGTTTAGAAGCAAGACTAGGCGGAAAACTTGTAGCATACGAAAACAGGATATACAGTAGCAATTTTCATGGCATTCTTATCGGGCCGAATGCAGGAGAATGTGACATCAGGGGAAATAAGATATTCGAAAATGCAAGAGAAGGCATTCTCGCGCAGAGCAACGAGAAAACGATAAGAATACACGAAAATGATATTCATCACAATGGGCCCTTCGGTCTTTCCCTAGATGAGAATTCTCACCTTGAAATAAGCAACAACAAAATATTCCATAACGGCTTCTGGGGGATCCTTGCCAAATCGCGAACTTCAGCAAACATAACAGAAAATGTTCTCTTTGCCAACAAATGTGGTGGTATTCTCATTGGTGTAAATTATTCTGGACGTATTTACTTAAAATCTAACATCGTTCGAGATCATAGCGGTCCGTGGCTAGAGTATCCAACGTTTCCCAAAGAGGTTCCCCTTGATAATAGCAGAGAGTCTGAGTTTGATGATGAACTTCCACATGGAGAAAGGCAGTTTTATTCTAGGCCACCCATCCTCATCCGTAACAAAGAATTTAACAATGAAGAGGGCATGCATTACCCTAAAGAAGTGATTAAGCGGTTTAACAGTGGTTGTACGTTTTGTCACCTCACGAAAGGGGTGGTACCTCGCCTTAGGAAGTGTCCGACTTGTCATATTGCATCTTATTGCAGTAAAGAATGCCAACGAAAGCACTGGCCCATGCATAGGACTTTATGTATTGCCCTGAGAAGTCGATATTCCGTAACGGTGAAAGTGTCTTCTTATGTTCCCATGGATAGAAAAGTAATCCAGTTTAGGCAATTTGGTACTCATTTAAAAGGCATTGGGACAGGCCCTAAACCAAGCCGCAACCGTCGCCAAAAGTTCATCGTAAAGATTCAAACAGGAACTCTTAATAGCCACCCGTTACAGTTACTGCGTGTCTACGACAAGAGCCTCACCCTAGATGGTGACATCCAAAGTCCAGAAATCTTCAGCGTTATTATGGAATGTGGAGTCCTGAGAGAGTTAAACAAATTCACAAGCAAAAAAGCCTTTTTCTGGGCCATGTTTACTGAAAATGGAGAGAGGCTGACAGTTTTACTTGATCAGCTGGCTCCCTATCAAAAATGGTGACTATTTCAGGAACACGCTACCACCTGCTAGTAAGTTGATGAATGCAGGAGAGCTTCAAGGACTCGTTCCAATAATCTGGAGGAGGAGGAAGAGGTATCATGACTAGCATGTAACAGTCTCCTGACTCGACGCTAGTAACATGGGCAGAGGACCAAATATGTAAAGCCCAATTGCAACCGCATGGATGAAGCCATGCTCCCCGCTTCTCAGCTTTTAAAATTAAACTCGTTCTTGCGGAGACACTTCCACCAGCTTGGCAAGCTTTGGGAAAGTACCGTAAAACTCTGGCCCAGTAGAAACGTTGAGCATTTACAGCTTCGTAAGGGGTGTTAAGTGGGCTTACAAACGGGGCAATTGGGGGACTGAGGCTTATATTCGAGTTTGCTTAAAAGCGTCCGATTAAAATGTTTAGGAATGCTGTAACCTTAAACGCAGTGAACATGAACATTCGTCGACGTCACGCTTGTTATGCCCATTACCTAGAAAAAAACCAGCAACCAAAGAAAACATTACAAAAATGTCAGCTTGGATGTTCATAAAATCTGGAAAACATAAAGATCTGCGAGAATTTAGCGCTTATATCACCAGTTCAAAATTCCCCGCCAAGTTTGTACGGCGACAAGTGAAATTATTAGGGAGCTTAAGCACTCTACGACGACGACCACAACGACGACTTCAAAAAACAATAGGTTTTAATTAATGATCAAAACAACAGCTCTGCACGTGCATCATGCTTTTTAGTACATTTCTTTGACGTCCACTGCACGACTACGACGTGAAACCTCCTAATTTGCCGTTTCATGGAGGACGTGGACATGTGACAACGAATTTTCCTTCCTCTTTTTGAACTTGAATAAAATCCTTGAGAATTCAACTCCAGGAAAAGTCGCCTGCATTTGACATATTGAGCGGGTCCAAATAGCCGCGATTAAGTTTGAAAGAACGCAGATTCATTTTTTTACCGACGTTTTCACTGCCGTCGTCGTCGTCCTTTGTTGAGGTCCCTATTCCCTAATTTCACGAGTATACCATTTGATTACCCATGGGTGACAAATTGCGCTTACAATCGTGCCAGGTTTTTGATATGTTTATAGTATCCAGTCGAGAACTCCACGCACTGAAAAGTTTGGAGCATATAATGACATCGACAAAATACCTGTTAGAATCCTTCTTGATGTACTTCGTCTTGTACACTGTAATTTTCAGGGAGTTATAATAACTCCTCTAGTGGGGCTAATTTAACTCCTTACAGTGGAGTTTTTTTTCGTGGAGTTATTTTAACTCCAAAAAGGAGTTTAAAGAACTCTTTTTCAGGAGTAAAAGTGACCCCAGATATGGAGGAGTTAAAATAACCCCAAAAAAGGAGTTATCCTGTACCTAAAATTTTTACTCCACTTTCAGAGTTAAATTAACACCAAAAAGAGTAAAAACAACCCATGTAAGGAGTACAAGTAATCCCATTTCGGAGTAATTTTAACTCCAGACTGGGAGTAAAAAGAACTCTTTTTCAGGAGTAAAAATGACCCCAAATTCGGAGTTAAATTAGGAGTTAAAATAACCCCAAAAAAGGGGTTATCCTGTACCTAAAATTTTTACTCCATTTTTGGAGTTATAATAACTCCCTAAAAATTACGGTGTATATAGTTTTTCTGAAGCGCCTTTCAATGCCCTGACATCTTCATTCATAACATTTTAAAACCCTGACGCCATCTTGACACTGAGACAGCAATTTTGTAGTTTCACAGAAATTACAAGTTGTAAAACGATATTTTTGGGTATCAAAGAGTTAATACCAAAATGAAAATACCTTTATCGAATGATGAATGTTCATGAATCATCATGCAAGCATTGCTATTTTTAATATATTTTAATTATTATTATCAATGAGTAGAGTGTTTTGAATTGTTAAATAAGTACGTTCTACTAGAATGTACTGGGCTTACAAAAGCTTTTTTTTCGTTGAGAGGGTTTGACCTTTCTCTGTAAAGATGCTCTTTTGGACGTCAGTTTCCCTTTGCACACGTGCCGCTATTCAATTAAGAAATGATGCTTTTTATTTAAACTGAACCCACACAGAGGTTCTTAATCTAATTAGCTCTGGTAAATTTAACGACAGTTGTTTGTCATCTTACATTATTATTCATTCAAAATATTTCCCCGATTCTGATTGTCTAAAAGCACACGTTGAGTTGTTTTGGTTGTGGAAACAAAAATGGCGGACATTTCACTAGTTTCAAGAGTAAGAACTAGGCGAAATAATAGCTAAAAACATGGCAAAAACAGCAAGAAGACAACTCGAAGGGCGACATCTGCTATTTGGAGAATATTTTCAGAGCTGAACAACCCTAAACGTGCACTATCGAAAATGAACTTAAAATCGATGGAGGTAAGCATGTTTAAGCTGTGTTTTTAAACTAGGAATTATTTTGAATGATTAATAAAACATTTGTTGAATTCGGCTTTCGTATCATATGAAGAATTATGGAGGTGTTATCCGTCGAGGCCGTAAAACACCCTCCTCGATCTCCATAATTCTTCATAAGATACTCAGCCTCATTCATTAATTGTTAATTAATTGGTTTAATTGGTTTTTGCTAAATCTTCAGAAACTTGACCTTGTCAAGTTGTCTTGTCCTGGACATTCCTATTTTTACTATCTTTCGTGTTTTTAGTGGTTTGATCGAAACTTTAGTGCGCTTTCAAAGAAGACCTTGTCCACAGACTATCTTAGTTAACTCGTTGTGATAAACAAGCTTTTGTTACTGCCTAGTTCAATTTACTTGCTAAAAGTTGTAATGAGAGATTCTTCGTTTAAAGGCTTTCGCAGTTTGAATACCTTGCTTATTGATTTCGACTAGAGAGTTGGAAACAATTTTAGAGTTAATTTAAGGAAAAAGGCGGGACTAATTTTCATTGTACGATATTCCAACAAGAAGCTTTTAAACGACAACTTAAGCAGTGTACGCGAATTGACAAATTGTACATTTAGAGTAATGATGTTGTACATATGTGATTTTCATTCATGTAAACATTCCTTGTAATTTTTGTGTCTCTCTGACTGTTTTGTTTTGACTGGACATTTGTTGGACATAAGTGAATTTTGGGGTTTTAACTGATTTTCCTTCCTTACGACACAACCTCGAAAGAAAATATGTTAATAATTCTTATAGCCAATCGAATTTTTACTGTATGATGTAAGATTATTTTAAGTTTGAGTAAGCTTGGCAGCCTTCAGGTTCAGTCGGGATAAAAGGAGCTGCAACTAGCTCTTGTCAGAGAGAGATATTGCTAGCCTTGATTGTGAAAAGTTGTGAACAGAGTGAATCAACATTAAAACAGTTTGAAGAGTGAAACAGTTGAATTCATTGTAGAGGATCCCTGTTCCCCCCAGTTTCATACTACAAAAGTAACGCTGAAATTTCGCGCCAAACTTGTCACCCATGATACTGTGTTAGTAACTGAGTTGCGCCCTTGAGTTGTCAATACACTGATAAATGTAGAGAAAATCAAATATCGTTTAATTACTCGACCATTTCTTACCACAAAGGCAAAGCGAGCTTGGGCTGAAATAAGCTTATCTAACATAACGCTAACCCTTACGCATAATGCTTTTACTAATAAAACCTAATTGTTTCAGAAGCTTTATAACGAATGACTAAAAGATGTAGTACTTCTAGGTGGCTCCCAGCCGAATTACAATTTGCTTAAAACTCTTTAGTTGGGTTCTAAATCTCTTAACGGTGCTGCTACCTATCCTTGTTGTCAAGCGCGAAGGAAACGAAGACACAGTCGTCGCGCCTACCAACGTGGACAAACAACGTAATATTCGAATCAAATGCAGATTTAAATGTTTTCCACCATTTTGTACGTCTCAATACTAACCCTCATTTTCGCCACCTGTTTCGTAAGGAAGTCCAGAAGAGGTGATTTCCTTTTTTCTGGGATTAAGCAAAGACCAGTTCATATCGCATGGATGTTAAGGCTTAACTTGTGCTTACCCTTGTTATTACCACCACATTATTAAAGTGTAAAATCACAGAGTTCAGTCGGCTGAAGGGCTTTTCTTTAAACGTTGATCTCATGAATAATTCTTCCCTCAAGAATATTCACTTTCGAACTAGCCAGCCAGGGCGCACAAAGAGCACCTATTTACTGGCTTGGCATATTTTCCACTAATTCTTATTGGATGAGGCCGAGTATGATATGAAGAATTATACAGATCGTTGAGATCGTCGTATTAAACTACAGCCAAATTCATTGATAGTTTATCATTCATTCAAAATATTTCCAAGCTCAAAACATGCCTACTTCCATGTATAGTTCCGGTCTTCAAACCATTTGCCTGTTCTTCGGCAATTTCAGGCTAGGGAGGGATGTTTATTAATCTACCAGATATTCCTCATAAAGTAGTTGTCAAGCGTTGAGTGGTATTTTCGGGCATTCTTGCAATGTTTTTGAAGCAATCCCCCGCTTTTCCGCTATTTTGTTTTTGCATAAGATTCCAAAACTTCACTATTTTCTCCAGCTCTACACTGCCAAAAAAGTCGAGTCAATCGTCCATAGTTTGTTATTATCCCCACACTGACGTCAGTCACTGACGTCAATGTGGGGATAATAGCAAATCTCTTCCAAACGTGGTCAGCACTAGTTGGTAAGGAAAAATTCGCCGAGGGGTAAAAGCCAATCATGCTCATCAGATGGAGAGATATTTTGAATCAATTACTGATAACTCATAGGTATTCAAGAATTGAAAAAATATTACAATACAGCTGTGCCGTTTTTCTTAGGTAGCATGTGTAGCGTATATTTAAACTCACAGTGTCTCACAATAAATATTTTCATGGATAGATGTGTCAACCAACGGTGTTCTGTAAACCAACATGATACTCGGTAAACTTCCCCTTAACTTTGCCATTATTATTTTAATGCCTTAGTCTTCTGTCTTATCCCATGATGGATGGTTAACACTGGTACTGAACATGTGTTCTTCATTTAAAACT